TTTTTATATATGGTTATGACCTTCACTTTCAAATGTCAATTAACATCTGTCATATATCTGTATACGATGTTATTGTTCGTGGAAATTTAAACTGAACCGCAAAAGAAATGTCACTTTATGAAAGTATTTCATGAATGTTTCCCATTGAAAAACAATGCATTTTGAGAAGGTGTCTCGTTTTTGACATTAGTCTGTATCTAAATTTCATGATTACGACTAACAAGTGCCACAAATAAGGATAATAGATCGCCAAACAGCTTAAAAGTAGCCAAACAAACTACCATGGTACAAACTACCGAATGCTTTCCATGAAAATTAAAATTCACTTGCGTTTCCTTGTGCCTTTTCTGATAAACGGCAACCCACTACGTGGATCCAACCTTCTTGTATCGACACCAGCGCAATGCCAAAACGAAGAATCAGAGAAACCAGGCTTTAGGAAGACTCCATGCTGTTTGTGGGTGACCTGGTTACGTTGCTGTAATCTGTATGTGTCTCTCACGTGGACATTAAAAGCATTGGCAACCCTTCATGCAGCCTGGCAGGCATGGCGTCGTCCTTAAGCCTGGGTTCTCTGATTCTTCGTAAGTCTTGGCATGGCGCTAGTATCATACAAGAATGTTAGTGACGCTTCTTTTGTGGTCTAGTAGATCTCCTCTGAGCTGGTGATTGAATAATAACATCACTTTATAATCAGCGGTATGTGTTTCTTGTGCATTGCATATGGAACATCTGATAATGCAGAATGTTTACCCATGCATATTCATATGAAGCGGTTAACTGCAATGTATCTGGCGAACGTTAAGCGTCCTCAAAGGACGACATGGTATAATACGAAATACAATTCCATTCAATCTGGAAGTTTACATAAGTATGGAGCTGTACACTGCCATGTACAAGCATCTGGCGAACGTAAAGGGTCCTCTAGAGAGGACATGATTTTGTGCGTACTACAATTCCATTCCAAGATTTGTCAGTACCAATTGTATTAACCCCGCAGGGATTCCTGTTGTAATAGGTCCCCAGCAACCTATGCTTATCATGTGCTTATCCAACCCTTAATAAGTTTCATCTGCTACTATCTGGAAATTATGAAATATTGCAAACGAAACTATGTGAATTTGTGCAGGAGGTTTACGATGATGTGTTGAAGTTAACTGTGTATATTCATGAAAATATCATATATATGGACAAGTGGCCTTCATACGAAATAAAGATATGACTTGACTATTCCATTCATGCAAAACAATATCATAATGCTGAAAGACCCTTGTCAAGATTGTCAACTACAATACTAATTTACTTGGAACAGATGGCAATCCTTAATTCAAGTAATGCTGGTATAGTAGTTTAATAGAGAAATTACATTGCTTCTGCCCAAACCTTCCAGACATGATAAATTCTATTATGGCAAATTCTGTTTGTTGATATCAATTAGCATTAGCGCTCTATGTCTTCAAGCAAGAACTGGAGAACTCTGTCTGGCTCTATACAAGATGGTGACATTGTCATAGACGCAAATAATGCTAGGATAATGTTACGAAGACAAAACCGAAGATATTAGTAAATGTCGAAAAGGTAGAATGTTAAGAGAAACGAAATAGTGTTTGAGCTCGGAAGCTAAAACGCCATCTGAACACTTTTCCTGAGAATAGATACCAAGAACAGTTTCAGATTTACTTTAGGCACGAATTATGATCAGGTGCTGCGGTGATTCCGGTTCAGAATGGGTCCCCGGTACCTCACTCTGAGATTGGCAGCTGGTGGTCATCCTCTGAGAACTGTATCTGGTGTCAACCTCTGTGAAGTGTGCCCCGATGGCGTACATCGTTACTCATATTTGTCTTGTTCCGACTTGATTATTTACAGGTCGCCCTGATGTAGCTAGAATATTGCTGCTTCTGGCGTTTAGCAACATTCAGTCCATCACTATATATGATTAGCTGCTGTGGTCGATGTACAAACACAATATTCTCGTCTTCTCCAGAATGGCTTGAAGGACTGAGTGGATGTGTTTCTTGGATGTCGATGACCATAAGGGGTTTATGTTCGATAAGGAAATAGAAATTTTGATTCTTAAAAAGTTATCATTTTCATAAACTTTAAACGTTTACATAAACATAAAGGCAAAGAAAAAATGTATTCATGATCTATTATGTCACTCTGTCACACAAATGAACATGTTTATTATTATTAGATCATGTCATATAAGTTCGCATTATCATACTTGACACTCACATACTCAAAGAAGGTGTTCTATGTCGTTAAAAAATAATCACATACGAGGGGTGGCTGAATAGTTCTGAGCCTGACTACGAAGGATGTTAAGCACACACTGACAGTTTGAATGTATGAAGTACAATACTTTCCATGCCTGTAGGTTGCATTTGGACCATGTACACAATCAGGTTGGTTGGTTGGTTGTTTTACGCCGCACTCAGCAGTATTCCAGCTATATGACGGCGCTCTGTCAATAATCGAGTCTGGACCAGACAATCCACTGATTAATATCATGAACATCGATCCACGCAATCGGGATCTATGACATGCATCAACCATGTCAGCGAGCCTGACCACCCGATCCCGTTAGTCGCCTATTACGACAAGCATAGTCGCCTAATATGGGTTGCTGAAGACCTATTCTAACCCGGATCTTCACGGGTCGTACACAACCAGGCAACACATTTCTGCAGGTATCAAAGTGACTGGGTATTCACAATCGCGCTGTCATCAAGTAACTCAAACAGCCAGACATGGTTTCAACAAGAAACAGAGGGGAAGAGGGAGCCCAGAAGATTATCAAAGATCAAGAAGAGTTTCAACTGTCACCAACAAGGAAATGTTGATTTAATATTCGATATGATTATGGGTGATCGACTCATCACCTGTCACTTAGCCAATACAGTAGACATATATCGTGAGAGAGTTGAGAACATTCTGAGAAATGACGCTGGGCTCCAAGGCTTGTGAAGCCTGATCAGAAACGTTTCAGGTTTATCATCTCTCATGAGGTACGTCGTTTTGAAGCAGATACAGCTGGTTTTGTTGAGCGGTTTGTTACTATGGATGAGTCTTGGGTTCACCACTATCAGCCAAAGACTAAACATCAGTCAAAGCAGTGGAAACATCTAACGTCTTCGGTCACTTCGGTTTTCTGTGATTCCAAAGGAATACTTCTGATGAACCACCTCCCTAAAGTTCAGATCATTAATTGTCAGTATTATGCTAATCTGCTTTGGCAGTTACGGGACTATCGTGGGTGGGTGTTGTTCCAACAGAACGACAGATATGTTGGACATAAGGCTGCAATGCATGACTGTTGCTTTGAACTCATTGAACACCAGATTTGGCAACGTCAGATTCCCACCTCTTCCCAAACCTGAAGAAATAAATTGTCTGTCAAGTATTATGCAACTACTGGTGACGTGACTGCTGTGGAGTACACCACCGGGATGAAGCCTTCTACATCACCGGGGAACAGGCATTCCAGCATCGTTTGCAGAATAGGGGATTATGTTGAAAAATATTTGGAAACTCCGACAACGCAGTCCATCACTGTTGGACTCAAACTGTTCAGCCAGTCCTCGTAACTATGGAATATGTACTTAACCACTTAAATATAAGAAAGTCTGTATTGTATAACACATTTTTTATATGTCGTGCTGTTTCTGAGCTCTTTGTGTCAGTGAGAATTCATATTGAAATCGTATGACTTCCGTTCAGTTTGTTTGTTGTTTGTTGTTAGCATAATACAAGTGATAATATATATAATATAAGTATATAATAGAGCCTGGACTAGACGAACCCGTGATTAATGTTATATCTACTTCCAACGTCTTCGTGTAACGATGACACTCATAATCCAAACATGACCACCCATCCATTAAGTCGCCTCTTACAACAAGCATAGTTTGACGGGAAACAATTCTAACCCGGAAACCCCCACGGCGGCACTCCATTCATAAATTCTCTAAATTGTCGACTTCCAAAAGTAAAGCATGGATGTTGAAATTTAAAACCGCCTGGGTAATATCTCAGTCATATAGCTGTACTAGCAAACACTTATTTACATAATGTGATTTTTTAAAGAATTCACACCTTTCGATTTAGTATCACGATAGTGAAGAGAATTTATGAATGTCAACTTATTTATTATGAGGAACACAAACAGGTGTCCTGTTGGACCTAATGAAGGAGTAAGTATGTACCTTTACTCCGAAACGCTGTGCTCTTCATAATAAAGTAGTTGACATCCATAAATCCTCTTCCTCATTTGCATCACATCCAGGCGGCCTGTAAATAGTCGAGTGTAGAGCAGACAAACCATTGATTCATATTATGATCTACCCCCTACGCCGACCGGGGAAGATGACACGATGACAACCAAGTCACCAAACCTGACTACCTTTAAGCCACCAAGGTAGACATTCACATGTTCGTCTTATCGTGGCTTCCAATTTTATAGTACACAGACATACAATTTAACTACTAGGGCTGGGGCGGGTAACTCGGATACTCGGGTCGGATGGGTCCCGAGTAGGACCCGGGTACGCACAGGTCTACCCGGACCCATGGTTAGTCACGTGATATATTGTTTGATGACAAAAACTCAATATAGCTCAGTGGTCACACCACAAGTCTCTGATGTTCGCATTTCTTTCTGACGATGCACACATTCCTTTTGACTTATATATGTCTGAGTAAAGATAAAGCTTCAGTCAATTTCAGTGTTCTGATCGTTTGATACATGTATCTTAATAGTTTTGGCCAGGGCTGCGATAAAACAATTCCCAATCAGACATTTTGTTCCCAACTCTTGAAACCTGCAGTGGGTACCCGTGTAGTAAATTTGGACTCGTCCCAGCCCTTATAAGTACATAACAATTGACACAACAAACTTGAGGTAACCAACGTCATTTGATCAAATATGAAATGGGTCCTTGATCAAAAGCAGCACAGGTACAAAAAGGTGCTGCACGCCGACATTTTACCGCACTTACCTGTGGCAATCTTGTGGACGTGAGGATTTCCAGAAAGTTCAATAGGTTTTGTCTTGTCAGGCATAATGTATGGTTCCGGTGGAAAATGGCCTTAACACTTTAACAACAACGATGATTCATCTAGGAAAGTAGAATGTAAATCCAAGGTTTCGCAATACCACACTTGGACTAAAAGCTGGCCATCTGTGAGAAGCCGCAACACCACACCGCGTCCAACAGGACTAAAGTTCGCTCTCCAGCATTAACGCAGCACCAGGTGCGCTGCCTCAGCCCAAGACGGACACGTGATTATAACACAGCACGGTACAGTCCGCGATAGACCAGCTCTTACACCAGCGACGGTTTGGAGACGGAGTCCCTCGGCTTCACTGGTCTATGGCACAATCAAATCCGCGTCTTCCGCTGGCACGGGCCTCTTCACACAGGCTTGTCAATTACCCCAGTCTCTATTGGACGATCAACAGCTTGCCAAGCCCTGTAGCTGGAAAGAAATAAAGTCCTGATTTTCTCAACCACTATAGAGTATGATTGCTCGACGATTTACAGGCACATGTCATGTCACTTGTATCGATTTCCCAGTTTGGTTATCGATTGATTGCTGGGTCCTATGTGTAAACAACGACCAAAATGAAAGTCGTTTTTCTTTTTACCTCGAGATCTGGCTTCTTAACTTCCTGGTTTTTGTTTTGAAGGATGAGTTATTCTTACTTGCTGAGTCGAATTTCGACAACTTTTTACTTATTACCTTAAGGAAAATTAAATTCTCATTCCATTACGTTCCCTTTCAGTAATTAAATGATCTTTGTGTAAAGCTTATATCACAGGATGATTTCTTTGAAAGAAAATATCCTGTAATTATCGTTTGAGGCAAGATATTCGAAACCGATTTTTGTCCATCAAGTTCTGTATATTGATATTCAGAGAGCGTACTTTAGACCTGACATTTTATGCGAAAGATTAAAATAGTTTTATGCAATGTGGAGATTTGTCATCGATTTAATCTAGCATGTAAACATGCATGCTCTTAATGCGCCAGGAGACAATGTTAGCTCTCGTGTAGTTTATGACATTAATCGCACAAGGAGAAACCGCCTTGAGTGGGATAAATGATATTAAGTACATCAGTCCATGAAAGGTGTTAGACTTGCAGTGTCGTGGAATGGTGATTTGGGAAGCGTAACCGAGACTTATAACCAGTCTTGTTTCTCATCAACTCCCGACATTAAAGTTCAGAGTGAACCTCTGTGTTTTTTTTGTATAAATTGCAGTTAATTTTGTTTCCGTTGAAATTTTAAAGAGATTTGTACCATTTGCAGTTTACTAAAAACAAGGCATATCATCTTCCGAAATGTCGTTGTAGTAATACAAATATATTATAGAAACGGACTCAGTGCGTCCGCCTGTGTCTGTCCTTTCGTGTGTCCCGAAAATATTCCAGGAGCAGAAACTCGAAAACTGTAAGTTTTACATTTACGAAATTTGATGCACACCAGAAACTGTAAGTGTACTTGTGCATGATGTTTTTTTCTGGTTTCCTCAACGTCGTTACTATTTATCGGTTTCGTCGGATGCAAGTTTAAACTTTGTGTCTGTGAGGCAGAGGCTGTCGTTTCCGAAACAGAGCTCATAAACTGTTACAGTTATGTTCATGGACTGCAGTACACTCATTCAGCATAAGCTGTAAGTGAATCTTTTGCATTATTGTTTCCCACATATTTGTTCTATTTTTCTTTTCATGGTTACAAGTTTGGACAATCTCTGGAACTGAGTTTGGATGTACTGGCAGAACTCCGAAAATATTAGGGCTCATTTACCAAACTTTGTGCGTTCATTCATCTTAAATGGTAGTTTTTACCTATTGTTATTCTGGTTTCCGAATTTGTTCCATGGATACTCGTTTTGAATGCGAAACTTGGTTGTGGAAGTGGCTGTCGGTTCAGAAGAAATCTGAAAACTGTTTGGATTTACTATATCGTAGTTTGTTTGTTGTTTTACGCCGCACTCAGCATTGTTCCAGCTATATGACTGCACTGTGTAAATAATCGAGCTGGACCAGACAATCCAGTGATTGACATCACAAGCATCGATCCACGCATTTGGGATACGATGACATGCATCAATAAGTCAGCGAACCTGACCACCCGATCCCGTTACTCGCTTCTTACGACAAGCATGGTCGCCTTTTACGGCAAACATGAGTTGCTGAAGAGCTATTCTAACCTAGATCATCACGGGTATTATATATCGGCGTGGTTCTACTTTTAATAGATCTTTAACAGATTCATACTTCCACACATTAGATTGTTGATGGCGTTGCCTTTGAAAGCAATTCTGGTTTTACAAGCTTACATACAAAACAATTACGTGTAGTTGCTGAGAAACTGGAGGTGAATATAGATGACAATGTCTTCTTGTTGAAAACAATCAATGAATATTTATAAATAAGAATCGGACATAAAATGATAATAACCATGAAATAATACAGCTGCTTGCAACTAAATAAACAATTGTTTACGACGTCAATTCGAAGTAGTCAGTGTTATATTTTTGTACCCACGGTCAAAACATAACATGCAATTAAAGTTAGGAGTACTTTATTTACTAACGGTTTCACCTTTTGATGATCATTCATTCATTCATTCATTCATTCATTCATTCAGTCAGTGCCAAAAAGATCATGGTTATCACTTTATCTTCAGAATTCAAACTATGCCATAGGACTTTCCCCTTGAACCTCGTGTGGATTCCAGGTTAGAACAGGTCCCCAGCAACCATTCCGGGTACAAAGACGCTGTGGATCGGGTGGTCCGTCCCGGTGACGTGGCTTACTGCGTGTCATCGTACGCCGACAGTTTGGATCGTTGCTCATAATATCAATCCCTGAAATGTCTTGTCTAGACTCGATTAGTTTCAGGCTACCAGCTTATAGCTGGAATGTTGCTGAATGCGGCGTTGAACAACAATCAGACAGACTTCCTACTTCAAATTCGCTGGTAATCAGAACCCTTTCTGGATTTCACTGAATCACGTGATGTCATATCACAAGAACTACATAGGATTTAATCACCTGCAAATTGCAGGATATCCTTGAGCGGTATTCTCACTTTGTGTTTCTTCCGGCTCCGTGTTCCGACAATCCCATTCCGACATTGAGTTACAACACATACTTGATACCGCGCCACGGTCTGAGGTTGTATTATATTGATCCGTGCGGAAATCGTTTGAGTATCGAACAGCAATTATATACCCCTGTGGTATAAGGCTCTCTTTGTCAGTTTGGTTCATTTTAAACAGTTTGACATATAAATCCGCTGCTTGAAATTGGCTGAAATCGACCCACAAGAATAAATGGTTCTTAATAAGTTTAAGATAATGATTTGGAAAGCTGTTTGAAAGCTGAAATCTGGAACTGTTCACATTTACACGTGGTGGCACGAGGTCCCGTGTACTGAACACGGGTCACAAATCAGTAGAACCTTAAGCAACGTCGGTCGCGGAGAGTAGGTGGATGGGTGTTTGGCTGATTGACTAAAAAATTATGATTGTTATTGTTATTATTATTATTATTATTAAGAAATACTACGCGTGCTCGTTGCCACCACAAACGTGTTGCACGTGCGAAATTGACTTATGGATGGTCGAGTCCACTTCTGGCGAGGGGGCACAAACCATGCGAGAACTTGTCAGAAATATTATTCACATCACTACACACTGATTCAAACATTTTTGTTTGCACTTACATTCGTGAACACTCCGTGGCATTCATCAAACTTCATATACACTTACGTCGTACATTATATCGCACACACAAAGAAACTTTTTGCATCATCTTTTATCGTTTATTTACAACATTGTTCTGTGGTGCTCAATTTGAGGTAAAACTTGGCTGTCTTCCAAATTGAGACTTGGCTCGAAATAAGTACGAATAAAATGAGTTTCATTATATTTCAATTCCCAAGAGAGACACATCTACGAGATAGCCGTTAGATTAAGAGGAAACAGTTCAACTTATTACCCTGTTGATTAACATGAAAAAACCCATTAACTGATGAGATTGGTTCTTGGAGTCATAAAAGAATAGTTAGAATACCTTGAAATGCGACGATAGGTGTACACTGTACCAATGGACCAATGGATGTATGTTACAGTAAGTCTCTTCACAGCAAATGTCCTGAGCTCTACGTCATACTCAACTGTCAGTCCATGCTTCATTTCCATCATTGATCTATGTCTGGTTTCGACACATCCAAGTTCAGCAGAATGAGGTTCGACTGTATATCACGGCGTGTCAGTACAAGTGCGATATGGTGCGAACAAACCATGAATCATAAACAGAAGAAATCTGGGATTCAAACCCGCGATCTGACTCGCCTTAGGGAAGTATCATTGCACAGACGACAAGGGCACCGTTCCCCCGTTGGTGTGATCGCCCAGTAGAGCGGATTACAATGTAAGAACGTCATCACGTGCGGCTGTTGACTTGGTTGAAGTATGTCATCGTATCCCAATTGCGAAGATCGATGCTCATAATGTCAATCACGGGATTGCCTGGACCAGACTCGATTATTTAAATACCGCCGTCATATATCTGTAACAGTGCGGCGTTAAACAACAAACAACTACAACACAACATTAGACATGAGTTTCGTTTTCAACTAGGAAATTATGAGTCATGAACACGTTCAAAATTGAGATATCACCAGTCCTGCAATAAAAAAAATCAACAAACCAATATCGCAGTTGTACGTGTTTGTCATACGTTTAATATATCACCCTGAGTTTCCAGAGTATCAGTACAATGTGTGAAGCCCATTTCTGGTGTCCCCCGCCGTGATGTTGCTGGAATATTGCTAAAAGCGGCGTAAAACCATACTCACTCACTCACTCCAGAGTATCACCCACAGTACAAGTCCAATGTGTCTTCTAAATGTGGAAACTTCTAACAGCGCTTAAGATGCAACATTGAAGCAAATTTGCCACATGGAAGCGTGCTACAACCAATGTTGAATATCAAGTACGGGAGATCAATCAATTTTTCAATTTAATTTAGGCCCATGGGCTTAAAAGCGTTTATTTTCCCTTTTTAAGCCCATGGGCTAAATAAAGAAGGGGCTTAAAACGCGCAGTCCCGGTAAGATTTGTATTCAATGATTGCGTTAATAAAACGCTTTATCGACATAAAGGTATTAAGTTTCAGTACGAAATACCAGTTTTACATTTAAAGTTAAATCATACGATGAATACCACCGTCATATAGTGGCCAAGCAACCCGAGACCCACGCCTGATTCTCTCAACCAGATGGATGAGACTGCCATCCCCCACGTGGACAGAGGGCTTAGATTCCAGCTGAAAGACACATGGCTTGACAAGACACG